GAGCCTTTTGAGCCCATGATTGCTTAATGTTGTCTATGCTTTTTATATGTTGTGTCATGTCTGTATGTTGTGAGTGTAAGTTTAATGGTGTGTTATTTGAGTCTGCTAGAGTTACTGCTTTATGTAACTGTGATGTTTCTTGTTTCTTGTAGAAAAACTCTCGCAGTGACTGTATTTGTTTGTAGTGAAGGTTAACTATGTCAATCAGGCCACGTCCGCCTTCTTTACGTGGAAGGGTTAATCTTTCTATGGCGGATTTAGGATGATGTTGTTTATGCTTAGTAAGTGTTGTTCTTGTTCTCCTTTGGAGTTGCTTTATTATTATTATTATTATTATTATTATTATTATTACATGGAAAAATTATTTTTAATTTAAATTAAATAATTATCTCAATAACCAACTGGTGGAGAAACATGAGGCTTATCAAACTGTAATGGAGCCAAGGAAATCACATCAAAAAAAGAAAAACTAATTTTATTTGTGGGATACATTTCAGTCTTCACTAGAATGCATTCTACAAATAAAAGCCTCTTTTTTTTTATGTGATCTCAATTTTTTTGGTTTCATTACAGTTTGATAAGCCTCATATATCTCTACCAATTGGTTATTGAGATAATTATATAATTTAATTTATTAGAGGCAAAAAGCTTACAACTATATTTTTAGTTTGTTTTTTTGCTTTATGATGATATATTTTGTATGTATTTTACAGCTGCATTATTTTTACTTTACACTATTCATGGAGTTGCAGTCATACCATTAATATACTGCCTTTCTTTTTTATTTGAAGTTCCATCTAGAGCATTTATTATTCTCAGCATTTCATATATGTTTGTTGGTAAGTTTGTTGTATCTTTATCATTTGATTCTTTTTTATAGTTTATTTATTGATATTGTTTGGAATATCTATTATTATTTAATATGAGTTGAAGTTCAAATAATAATGATTTCATTTAATGTTAATAGATATTATTTTGCTATCGACTGACATAAATTTTCATTACTTAATTAAAATATTCATCTATGTAGTTCATATTAATTGACAATATTTAAATTATATCTATTTATATAAAAAGAAATCAATTAAATAATAATTATATATGAAAGAACATATTGAATAAGAACTATATTAGCTGCTAATTTTTAAATTTGATATAACAAAAGAAATACATTTATGAAATTGTATTGAACATATTTTACATTATTTATTTCTGGTGCTTGAAATATATGATGTAAATTCTAAATTTCTATGCTATAAAAAATTAATTGCTTATAGCTATTATGTAGCTTAACTAGTAATTTCAAATAGAATTTAATAAGTTTACATTATAAAGAATGAGTATAGATATTAAGGGTGTTTACAAACTACAAGTTAAGAATATGAAAATTAATTTATTCTGAAAGTTGTGGGGTTACAAAATGAACAATGCATGTAAAAATACTGCTCAAATATTTTGCTTTGTTTTTTTTTAATTTGTCATTTTAACAAAATTAAATCTGTTTCATAGTCTGCTGTCTTTTGAACTTTTGTTTTCATACATTTCTAAAGGTTGTGGAAGTTCTCAGAGTTATAAATTGGCAAAGCTTGTTTTGTGAAGTTCTTTAGTAGAATTGGTCTTCCACTCTATCATATACAGTGTGCAATTTGAAAAATTTTCAGAGGCATAATCACTCAATTTATGTACAGTGAGCTAACAATAGTATCTCAGTTTATTAATAGGGGTGGCATGGTTGTAGTACTATTGTAATGGGAAAAGAATTAAAGCTAGTTATGTTAAATGATTTTAATTGTTTTTTAAAGTGATTAAACATAATATTAATTAAATTTGTTATGATTTTAGCTGACAACTCAATATTTTTTCATTTTTTTCTCTTTCTGTCCTGTGGATACTAAGAAAACCTTTCTTTTTAATCATACTCAGTTCATGCCTGTGAAGGATGGGGGTCCAACATATCAAAGACAGACTGCTCATGAAAAATTCCAGGGGAATTTCTTGCACTGTTTTAATTCTGGGCCTCCTGAAATGGTAGCTGATGCTTTAACTTCCTCAGCCATCTATTAAGCTTATTCCATACCTATGAATGACAAATGATATAAAATTAACAAAGTAAATTGAAATATTTATAAAACTTTACAACATTTAACTCACAAGAAAGGTGTAGAGGAATCCCCTGTTGAGTTTTGTTTATAGGGTTGAAACAAAACGAAAAAGGACACACGGACAAGTCAGCTCAACATTTAGGGTTTTTAATTAAAATTCGTTAACTCCATTCGAGATATTTACACACACCGTAAATCAACAACACAGTAACACACCTGAATCAACGATACACACGTTTACCTCGTTCCTCCATCTTCCTTAACAATGGGGCTCGCGACACGTGGCGAAGCGGGACGACAAGGACGATGCGTAACAAAGACAAATAACAGAACGTTACTCACGACAAGAGAAAATCTTGGCCGCGAACAAAACATTCGAAGAACCACTGCGTGCCGACGAATCTTCCTTCGATCTTCTCCTAATTGGGCGAGTTAGAGTCCATAGCCACACAGTTCTTATTCCGACGCCAATCCTTTCTCTTTCTTCTTTCTTCAGCACTTCCGTCAAGTCAGGAATCCCAGGAACCAAGAAAAAAGACCTCTACTCCACGTGGGTCCCACCTTATATATCATACAAACCGGAAAAACCGCACGTGACCATCAACCAGCCAATCTGGCTGCCAATCCACAGCTAACTGGGAAAAGGTGGTATCGCAACACCAAACGAAAGGGGTGGAAAAAAAAATAAAACCCGAAACGAAAAACAAAGAAATAGTCACGAAGTGCTACAAAGGTTAGTCAATCCAGAAATTCAGAAAAATATGAAGCATTTTGTGCAAATAGAGTAGTTTATCCATAACACAAAACTATTTTTTTTTTTGTTTGTGCCACATTACAGCTTGAAGGAGCAATATCATCCCATTGAAAAAAATGTTGATTTCTTGTTTTTTTGGAATAACTGCCAGGGAGAGATATCAAAAAAACTTTAAACAAAAGTTACATCTCTTTTTTACATCTATAAAGCTGTGTATATATACAAGTAAATATCAAAAAATTTGTTTTCTGACTTATCCCCATCACTAACCCTTAAGATAGGATGGCCGGATGGCCAAACGGGTCAAGGTGGCAGCGTACCACCCTGGCAGCGGACCTGGGATCAAATCTGGATGGGTCAACAAATTCCTAGGAATTTTTAGGGTGGCCCATCCAGATATGTTGAGCCCCATCCCTCACCATCCAGCTGCCCCATTGTAGGCCAGGCCAAACACCTAATGGGCTTGCTGAAAGAGACCCTCTTAGTGCCCGCAGGGCAGAAAGAGTTTAAAAAAGAAAACCCTCAAAATAGAATTTTTGTACTTATCCTTCAAACAGCTACATGCAATATCTTATTTATTTATTTAGCTGATATGTGCATTGTGAGCCAAAAACACATATCAGCTAAAAAAGAATAAATAAAGGATGAAAAGCTGCCTAGTGTCTGATTGATTGCACTTTATCGTGCTTGTGAAACAAAGACATAGAATGACACAGTTTCGAATTAGTAAAGAATCTTGAATGATATCAATTGATATTTCTATTAAGATAATATGCCTTTTATACAACAAATATAATTGATAATCGCTAAATATGATAAAAGAATATCTTTACATTAAAAAAAATATATAATCACTTACAGTAATATCATCAGTTTGGAAGATATTATTAGGCTGCAATTTAAAAATATTGTAGAGCTATAAATTCTTCATTGTCATCTGTCTATCTGTCTCTTTCCATAATCTTGAGAATAGAGTTAGATGGATGAAATCCGAGACCAGATATGGAAAGCTTAGGGGGCATGAGATCCCATTAACTGTATATGAACTTCCAGTGCAAACTGAAAGTTCATATACATTATTTCAATTAAAAATTTTTTATGTTATTTCAATTTAAAATTTTTCTCTGTAATGGTTTAGATAGATGACGGCATGACTCTGTTGCTAACAGGAAAAGTATTACGTACAGGGCAAGACACTACTAATTTGAGGTAGAGAGTATATATTTTAAATTAAATAAATTTAATAAATATGATTAAAAATTGCAGCCTGACATTGTGATTATGTTATAATAGATAATTGCTCGTTGTAATTAGGATTTAGTCAAATTATTTCAATAGGATACAAATCACATTCCCAAAGCTTTTATTGTGTTAATAATAAAGTTTGCCAATTGAAAAATTGTTTATAAACTGATTTTTAAAAAAATTTTTTCTACTCTGTGGGCACTAAGAGAACCTCTTTTTACAAGTTCATTATGGGTTTAGCCAGGCTCACAATGGGGTGGCTGAGTGGTGAAGGACAGGGCTCCACATATCTGAATGGACCCATTCAGATTCAATCCCAGGTCCTCAAGAGTGATAGACTGTCACTTTAACCATCTATAAACTGATTTAAAAGCAAAATAATTTTTATTCAGATTTTTTTTCACTTTTCATACTTTTTAAGTTCTATTCTTCAAAAAACAAGGAAAAAACAAATTTTTTAGGTTGTTAGTATTACAGACATGATTTTAAAGGTGCTACGTCCTCAAATATTATGCTTTCAATAACGAATGTCCTAGCTGATAACTTGGATGAGGAGGAAAAAAAACAGAAAGAGTNTATATAAATAATTTTTTTTGTATAATTTATTATTACTAATAAAAATAAATGAATATTTCCAGGTAATGCATTAACAATAATTATATCTTTACTGGAAATTCCATTCTTAAATTTCAAAAATATTGCTAGAACTTTAGATACCGTATTTGCTCTTCTCTCGTCGCCATATTGTATGGGACGTTCAATAGGACTTCTTTACAAAAACTATTATTATAATAAAATCTGTGATATACCTATTGTAGATATTGTTTGTCAAAATGAAAGTAGCCTTATTTTTGAAGAAGTGAAATCTTGTTGCAAAGGTAAGAGAAAAATTTGTAATAATTTTAGAAAAAATTTAAATGTTCTGAGCAATTTTTATAATATGAAACTTTATAATCATGTTTCAAATGTGTTTTGATTAACATTAAAAATAATAGCATGTTCTTGTTATTATTTTAACATATATAAGTGTGTGTGTGTGTGTGTGTCAAAACTTGGTTTTTGAACTTACTTCATTCCTAAAAGTTGTTCAAAAACTGATTTTTTTCTCGAACCACAACAAATTATCCCATAAGAAACAATATAAAATGGATTAATCTGTTCCTGACCACCAAAATATAGCCTTTTTTTTTTTTTTACCTTTTTAGCTGTATTTCATGCATAAAAATCCCTACAAATGCTATTTTATATTATCTATATCTATATTCATTTTATATACATATTAAAAGCAAAAGGTTCTGTCACTGCCAATCAAAACCAAAACCATTGCTTTACAAAAAGTGCTATAAATAGAGACTTGACTCTGCCTCAAAAAAATATAACCAAATCAATCAAGACTGGCAATAAGTACTTTATCCACACTTTTCAAAATATGTTTCAATTGCTTTGGATTAAATTTTAATTTAAATTAATTCATTAATTTTGATTTTACTTTTATTTTTAATTTTAGTTTCAGTTTTGGTGTAAAACCAGTTATAATTGGGCTGAAATTTGAAAAAATTGTAGATCTATAAATTTTATTTTCACTGTCTGTCCTTCCTTAACCTCCCAACAGTGGACTAGTGTTGTATGGTTCTACCCCCAGTAATGGAGAATAAACGTGGGAAATTTTTAAAGTATTTTTCCATGTGTTTTTTCTCATTACTGTTTTGGAAAAAGATTTTGTAAACAGTTATGTTTAGTAAAGAAAAGTCTTTTTTTTATTGTTACATAATTCACTTTTTATGGGAATTTTTTTTCTTGATAGTTTTAGGCTTGTTTTTGGCGATACCCCCCAAAAGTATTTGATAACTATAGTCATCCCTCACCACTGCCACACGATCGCCCTTGATGACTATAGTCGTCGTTCACTGCTGAGTGGTTTATTAATACAAGCTATTATTTATTGGGACATTGTCACAATGCCAGGCTGTAATTTTTAATCATTTAATTAAAAAAAATCATGTGACTTCTGGTGTCCAGTACCAGAAGTTTGTATATAGCTAATCAGGGTCTCCAGCACCTAAGCATTCCATATCTGGTATCCATTTTAGTAGTATCTTGCCCCTGTACATCATGTTTCTGTTGATAATAATCAAGCTATGCCAGTCATCTAGCTAACTCTGCTCTGGAGAAGATTTTGAATTGAAATCATGTGACTTTTAGTCCCAACCAGAAGTTTATATATAGTTAATTGGAACCTCTGGCTCCTAAGCTTTCTATATCTGCTCTCAATTTTCATCTGACTCCTTTCTCAAGATTAGTAAGGGATAGACATACAGATGGATGATAGTGGGAAAGTATATGTCTGCAATTTGAAAATTTCAGCCCAATAAGTTTTTCTTACATTGTTGATATTAAGTTGCTTAATTGTTTTTGACTGTTTTATCTTTTAAAGTAATATTTAAAAACCACAAGTAATTAAGATTTATCATGATCAGAATAAGTTTAAATCTCATTTAAATCGATTATTTTACAATTAATCCAATTTTTCTTGGACAGAATAATTGATAAATGTTAATTTACTTTCAAAATTTAAATTGGAAAAATATTTTAAAATGTTTTAATACTATAATTCAATATATCTTGTAAATTATTAGTTGCATAATAAGTTTATTTGGATTGTGGTGTTTCATACTTTTTATAAGCATTATATTGTTTATAGTAATTGATTTAAATAAATAAATTAAATTGTAGTTAGTTGAATTATTTATTCATAAAATTTCAATTCTTAAATCAGGAAAGAAATTGTTACTCATGACAAGTTTGTTACACAATCTGATATTAAAAACATGCATATGAAAAAGAATTAATCATTATTTTTATTTTTACAGACAAATGTATGTCCCCTTCTTTTTGTTTGGATAGAACAGATAATATTTATTTGTGGGAATTACCTGGTCTTGGAAAAAATATTATCTTCCTATGTTTGCATGCCATTTTTAATTTTGCAATGTTGATTTTCATTGAAAAGAAAGGATTTAAAAATTTGAAAAAAATCTATTATATTTTTAAAAAGAAACACGATCCGATTTATCCCCCTCCTTTGACATTAGACGACGACGTAAAAGAAGAGTCTGATCGAATTTTAAATACTGAATTATCAGAGTTACAGAAAACCGACATTGTTATTTTGAAAGAACTGACAAAATTTTATCAACGTTTTTGTGCCGTAAATAAATTAACTCTTGGAATAAAGAGAGGAGAATGTTTTGGATTACTTGGTTTAAATGGAGCCGGTAAAACTACAACATTTCAAATGTTGACTGGTGATGAACCCATATCATCTGGTGATGCTTATTTAGATGGAATCAGCATAAAATCACAAATTTTTAAGGTAAATTATACAATACATTTTACTTTAAAGTTCATAATTTTATCAATTTTTTAAATCTTGCATATCATTATTTGCTGACTTGATAATAATTATCTTGAATATACTGTCAATAGTGTCAATAGTGAATGTATTAGACATGGTTGGATTAACCATTAGGCAAAATAAGTATTTGCTTAGGGCATCAAAGAAAGAGAGCACCACAGAAATTTTTCATTTCCTGGTTTACCATGGACTGTAAGATGCAAAACTGCAAATGATACAGCTGAATCAAGGGTCCCCACAACAAATGAAAAAATTAAAATATTTGCTGGTATCATTTCTCTTGAAAAATAAAATTTTATGTTTCGTTTTATTATTTGATTATATTTTGAATTACATATATGCTATATGGGGGCACCAAAATCTTTTAAGTGCTCATGGCCTCTATAAGTTTTAATCCAGCCCTGGTGGCAGATAATATACTAGTATTGAATAGATTAAAATAGATTGCTCAGAGTTATTCAATCTCTAAATTTTTAACTGTTGAATATGAAAAAGTTCAAATTATAGAGTTATAGAACAGACCAGTTATTCAAAACAACATACATATCAAAATTGCATCTGAAACATTACACAATATAAGATTATTATATCTTTCCAATCTATTATGGCAAAATACAGTCAATGTACAACATGGATATATTCAATATATTATATACTTAGTCATACTTACAACATGGCTTACTCATAATATGGATCAAATTTTTGGACTCTATTGCATGTGTTATATCAGGCCTACAATGTGATCAAAGTAACCAAAATTTTCTAATATAAAAAGTCCATTTACTGTATATCTTCTAAGATATAGTGGCCTCCATGTCTATTTACCAAACTGGCTGACCGACCTGGTGCATATTAGAAACCAGTAACTGTTAGAAACTGGGATCTCTATTAGCTTAAGGTTATGTTCTACAAAAAATGAGGAAACTGAGTAACAAACAAATAAAAATAATACAAATATAGTAAAGGGTAATTAATAACTCCTTTTGTTAATTTAAAAGTAGCAACCTGTAATGTGTGTCAAAAATGTTTGGTTGTGGAAATGTGAGCAGAGAAGCAAGTGGGGAATTCCCAAAGACCAGCTTCTATTCAGAATAATCTTTGCTGTAACCTGGTATGGTTTATGGGCCAGTGACAATTGGAGACTAAATGTCTATTAGAAGATACATGGTAAATTAACTTATTTAAAAAACGCCAATCAACGAAAAGAAAATTAATTTAATCTGGATTAAAAATTACAAGTCTTTCTGATTAATTTATTAATAAATGGCATTATTTTTCATGTTATATTTAATCTTTGTGAACAGATTAGATTACATGTTAACTTGAATTGTTTAAATTATAAATTAAATTTTTTATTTAATGATAACTTAAAATATGTGTAACAAGTTTATCATTAAAATTTTTTAAAAATATGTATATGTTTTTTATTCAATTACATTTATAATAAATGTATTTTTATATTATTAATATTCCTTTAGATTAAACATAGGATAGGATACTGTCCACAGTTTGGAGGTTTAATTGATATTTTGACAGGAAGAGAAACACTTACATTATTTGCAAGATTGCGTGGCGTTCCAGAGAGAGAAATTCCTAAACAAATTTTTATTCTTAGCGAGATGCTGCTTTTTACTAAGCACATTGACAAATTGGTGAAACAGCTCAGGTTTGTATTAGTAGTAATTTGTCTTTGTATCAGAAATAATTTAAATTTACACTATTGGTTTAATTATATTTTAGTAAATTTTTGTGATAGTTATTTATTTCCACCAGGTGGTCAAGTGAAAGTAAAACTTATGAGAAGTAAAGAGGCAATGTTGAAGTTGGCTGTGTTTGTTGCACCACCGCATTACCAAGTCTGATTTGCAGCATCTTAAACCCTTTGTGTTATTTCTCATGAGTTCTACTTTCCATTGATTATTTGGTATAAATGTATAAATTAATGTATAAATTAAACATCTAACAGTACTTATTAAATATAAAAAGAAAGAATGAATGTTACATCTATCTGAAATATTTAAATGATAATAATGAAAATGATATTTATCTAAGTTTCTATCATTTTCAAGCAACAGAACATTCTTTATTCATCTCTCTATATATTTAATGCTGTGATGAGGGAGTCAAAATCTCGTATGTTAAGCCACTAGAATAAACATTAATTTTTCATATTATTATTAGAAAATTACAAATAATATTTTGAAACAAAATGTCTGCTAATGAAATAAATTTTATAAATTTACAATAAAATTTTATTTAAAAGTTTCTGCCTGAATTAGTTTTAAATAAAATATTCCACCATTAAATGGTGAAGTATTTGAAAGGTGTATAAAGATGATATAATCCTTGTGGATACAAGAAATCTGGTATCTTACACACCATCAAAATGTATAAACAGAATTTCATATATAATTTAATTTTTAATTTACAGGAAAAATATATCCAATTTCAGTTAAACTTAAAATTTTTCAAAATGAAATGTGATTTTAGAGCATTTTGAAAGTATATTTAGCATAGTCTGGATTTCTTTTAGTTTAGAATCACAAAAAATAATCCATATAAGTCCAATTTCATATTTTAATATTAAGTTTTATCAAAATTATGTTGAATACATATTTCTCACAACTGTTGAAAAAAAATCCTTAGCAAACTTCTCAATTATTAAGTGTAAAATATTCATAATTTTTAATTTTAAAATTCATAAAGAGAATTTTTTTCATTATATAAGTTACAGGAATTTATTGGTAATTTTAGAAGGTAGTATGGATTGAAAAAATGTCATTAAAATGACAATTCACGAAAAATCTTTTTACGAGTGTTATGTCACTAGTAAATTCCACAAGTACTTTCGACCTCCACCGAGGTCTGCTTCAGGTGGTGACTGGCCGTGTTTCGACCCGACCGTCGTAACAATGTTGCCAACGATGTAAATAAATAAATGTGCGCGTCGGGTTTCACCCCTCCAACTGACACTGTTCAAATTCCTCGAATAAATACTTCCACGCCTGTGCAAGCGTTTCCCCATTCTTGTAGTTGATGCAGTTGCCCCCCTGATAGCTTTATGAATCTCCCAGGCCTCCAGGTGACGGATGTGATCCGCGCGGAACACTTGTCTGATAAGTGACGTAGGTTCTACATCACCGACCCTGAAATAAGGGCGGACTTCCGGAACACCAGACTTATCAGACAAGCGTTCCGCGTGGATCACATCCGTCACCTGGAGATTCATAAAGCTATCAGGGGGCAACTGCATCAACTACAAGGATAGGGAAACGCTTGCACAGGCGTGAAAGTATTTATTCGAGGAATTTGAACAGTGTCAGTTGGAGGGGTGAAACCCGACGCGCACATTTATTTATTTACATCGTTGGCAACATTGTTACGACGGTCGGGTCGAAACACGGCCAGTCACCACCTGAAGCAGACCTTGATGGAGGTCGAAAGTACTTGTGGAATTTACTAGTGACATAACACTCGCAAAAAGGTTTTTCGTGGATTGTTATTTTTCAACGCAGTGTTAAGTTGTTGGAAGTCGTTTGTCATTAAAATGCAACATCAAAGGCAAGTTGATCAAGCAATAGCAAGTGTTAAATGCAAGCTATCTGTTGACTTTAGTTTAATTGATGAGAGAGAAATTCCAATTAGGAAGTTTTTCCAAATATGAAATTATGACAGGTATACATCATCAGTAATTGATAAAAATTATTGTAATTCCTAATAAAACAATGCAAATCTTTAAGTAACTGTCTAATTTATCAGTGCGGTAAATTTAATATGTCATTGCATTGACAGACTTCTTAAAGAATATTTTTAAGAATATGTCAACAAGTCTATGTTTCATACTCATTTTACTTTCCTAGCTGTTATTTATACATAACAAGGGAAAATATTGGAATTACGTCAGATTTGACCCTCCGAGTCTTTTACAAATCTCCACGTTTTGATATTCTGAACCCTAAAAAGTCAAAGAAATGAGAAAAAATTCTTCGTTTGTTTGTGTATGCATATTTTGTTTAGTATCACAGGATAAGGTTAAGATTAGTAAACAAAATTTGGCATGATAACTTGTATAGGAGGGGCATGATACTATTAAATTTTGGTGATTACAGATTGAGGGGATGAGGAGATAGTGGGGTATCATATCTTATCTCAAGAGAGGTTGGACTTAATGAAGATTTTACTAGTTATTAGCATTTACAATTTTTTATAAAATCACTACCTTCAAAATTAAGCTTTTTTGCCATTTATAATAATTAATAATATAAAAAGTTATTAAAATCAAATATTGTCCAATGGTATTTATATATGTTAATAAAAAGTTTTATACAAAATCTGATAACAGATGGCACCTCGTACAATTTAATTTATTATGATTAATAATATAAAAGTTAGTTATTTTTAAAATAAAATCTCATAACAGCAGGAAAGTTATGCAACTCATTGCTTGATTGTTAAGACTGGCAATAATTTTGGTAATGGTAATATCTTCCAAAGTTAGGAAATTTGTTTTAATTATTAATAAAATATGTAATATAAAAAGGTGAATTATTATTATATCTATTCCTTCATAGGTTTTTCCTCAGTTTAATACATTGTTAGATAATTATCCAAAATATATTCAACAGAATATTCTGTACATCAAATAAAAATAATCCTCCAAAATAATGAGAGAGATATCAAATGTTATTTCAAATTATTAATGGGATGAATATTGAAAAATATATTAGTAAACAATTAAAATTAATAAAAGAAGTATTATAAGTTACAATTCATTGAATTTTGGATCCAAAAAATTGAAGTTTCTGTTTAATTAATTTGGTCCTTGTTATTGCACATGAAGATTTGACAAGTGCTGATTTTAATTATAGATATTTTAATATTACTTACAGTTAGAAACTATTAATTAAACACCCATATTTTTATAGTGATGGAAATAAGAAGAAGCTTAGCACTGCAGTTGCTCTCATGGGAGATACTCCTGTTGTGTTTTTGGATGAACCGACCACTGGTATGGATCCGGCAGCACGAAGATGTCTCTGGAATACTCTGATTGCAATTACCAAACAAGGACGTTCAATTATTTTGACGTCTCATAGGTAAATGTCTTGCTATTTTAGTGAGTAATTAAGTAATAAATTGTTTTACTTGCTTAATTGATAAACTGACATATAAAATATTGATTAAATTGTTATAAATTTAGCATGGAAGAATGTGAAACTCTGTGTTCTAGATTAGTTATAATGGTGAATGGCCAATTTTGCTGTCTAGGGAGCCCTCAACATTTGAAAAATAAATATGGGCAAGGTTTGACTCTGATAGTTAAAGTTAAAAGATGTATTACCGAAGACGACACTGATTTTGAAGCAGCACTGACAAAACACGTTAAGTTTCAAGATAACCTAATAGCATTTAAGAATTATATGAAGGACATGTTTACAAATTGCGTGTTGAAAGAAGAACACGAAAATTCCGTTTGTTATCATCTGCCAGATCCAAAAATGCCTTGGGCTCAAATCTTTGGAATTATGGAAAGTATTAAGCCATTATATAACATAGAAGATTATACAATTAATCAAGTGACATTAGAACAGATCTTTTTAAATTTTTCAAGAGAACAAAGAGGAAATTAATTTTGTTAGTTTAGAATTCAAAACTTCACATTTATTATAAACACTATATACATAAAAAAATATTAATATATAATTAAAGATGTTAAACCAATTTACTAATTTTCTGATATCATTTAGTAACTTCTAAATCTTATTATAATAAGCAACGTTAGAATTATTTTATTTATTTCAAAATCATTAACTGAAGAGCTGGCATGCAAAAGAAAATACTACTGTGATCAAAAAGTACCGAGAATGCTTCATTTAAACTAATATCACTATTGTTTATAGCACTGTAACATTGGGAAACTGGCCCCTATCCCAATTTCTACGCGAAACTCCTGGGAGCATAGAAAGCTCTCTCAGGAGGCATATCACCCACATGTCATGTGCTGTAATCAAATAAACTAAACCATACAAAACAAAACAAGGGTTTAGTTGGCCTAGATCAGTGTTTTTCAACCTGTGGGTCGCGACCCTCAGAGGGTCGCGGGTAAAAGAAAAAGACAAGTGTTTATAGGTCCTACACTATATTAAAAAAACTACAATTTCGGCGAGAAAGCTGTATCTGTTTATTATACAGTACATTTGGCTTTTTGATTGACATTTAGGTGTGAATGATGGGTTTCGCCAGGGAGGGGCCAGAAAATGATAGCCGAAAAAGTGCTGAGCTGACCTGTAAAAAAAAAGTAATAAGTAGAAAAGTGGAAGTTAAAAACTGTCGTCCTAAAAAAAAGAAAGGTCAACAGCACTCCGAACCCAATGTTCCTATGAGAGGGAAGTATCATACCATACGTGTCATAAGTTGTTGTCGATCCTTCTTAAATTCTCATTTTAGTCAACAATAATTTCTCTCAACAGAAAGAAAATTAAATACATAATTTTTAAAATCACTGATATAGTTTTAATATCGCCCTAGGGGAGTCTCCAGAACTTTTTAACTTGTAAAGGGGTCGCGTATTCAAAAAGGTTGAAAAACACTGGCCTAGATCATACTGGTTCATACTGTAGATTTTGACAATGGGAAAGAAGTAACGAAATAGCACAGTCCTCCACCTTTAAGCAAAAAAAGAACTACACAGACAAAAAGCATTTAGCATTTTTTGACAGATTTAATGAGAAACATTCTTTATTGATGTGAGGCGCTAGCATCTACAGTCGCCACCAGAGGGCCTCCCGTCGATGACGTGAGCGTTTCGTCAGACGACCGGCTTATTCGACCTGCCACGACACAGTTCAGGTGTGTTCGACAAGAGCTCCGCTACTTACGACTAAACAAAGGATTGTAGTGCCAATCGACCATCGTCCACGTTGGTGCCTACATTGGTGACCCGAACGCCTACAGATGCTTTTGGGAGCTAATATGAAACCATTAATAGTTTCCGTTGAGAGTTTGTTGCAAAGGTTTGTTTTAATTACCGTATATCTCGGCAGATAAGACAAGGTATAAATTTTTGTCGAAGTTTTATTTATAGTTTTAGCATATATCTGTCCTATAAGACAACCCCCCCAAACTATCAACGGCCTATGAATTTACTTTAGATCAGCGATCATCATCTAAATAATAATACTGTATAGCGTATACGGAATTATGTCCTATTTTTGTAATTTTTCGAATGAACAAATTTTATTTTCTTGCATCTGGCAGCACTGCCTTTCGATTGTTGCGAACATTGGCACTGATTCGGCATTCGGGTAATGACCTTGACTATTCACAAAAACGTCGTATGGGCCATTCTATTTTGTGCACATACCCTACTCTCTACCAGTAAATAATTACGGTTTGTCTGTCTTTTTATAATGGTTTTAATTTATATAAATTTCGATCTAATTTTTTTTGTATCTGTTCTATAAGACGACCCCGGATTTTGGGGGCTTTTTTTTATGATTCAACTATCGTCTTATCTGCCGAGATATACAGTAAGTTAATTTTGGAAAAAAAAAAAAAAACGCACGAAGCATTGGAGAGTGACAAAACCAATAAATCTAAAACGAACCTTCCAAAGTTTTTAAATTCAAATTTTCCGTCATATCGATAAGTTTTGAAAGTTTGTACCAGTAGTTGTCAACTAGCCTTTTATTTTTTATTAATTCACCTCGACTCTCTACATACAAACGCCCTTGAACATCAATAGATTATAGTAATTCAGAATTCTGTTGGTCCAAAACTCTAGGCAGTTTATTCAGGAAAGGATGGATAGAATTTAGTTTCTTTTTTGAAAACGTCAAATTAGCAGTGGCGTGCCGTGACATTTGATGATAGGGAAGCTGTGTTTCTGTAAGAAGCCGACTTCCAGGGGCAGCCAGTCAATGATGGTCTAGGGCAGGGGTCGGAATTAGCGGCTCGCGAGCCGCATGCGGCTCTTTGCATAGACGTTTGCGGCTCTTCGGACATAAACTCTAATTTCATCTTATCTCATTTCACCGCAGCCTTATAACTTATGAGTTTATGAGATAGAGCCGCCGAACAAACTTCGACTTGTTCTCCGTCCGCACATGACCACACTCGCGTTGATCAATATGAGTCGCATAAGAGTGGTAGCATTTGAAGCATATCTATATATATAACCTATTGAATGCGTGTCCGTCCATCCGTGTAACGTTATGCCGAAAACGGCCACTAGAGGCGCCTCTGTCGTGTGTCGTATTTCGCACATTTAAATTAATAAGCGGCTCTCTAGTACTTTTGTTACCCTGTTTTCATGACAATTTTGCTCTTCTCACTTGACAAACTGCCGACCCCTGGTTTAGGGTCCATTCGTATTTGTTTGTTTGATAAGCCAGTAAAAACCGTAGACTTCTCTAAATATACTTTTAATTAATAGATTATCTAACGCGCTTAATAAATAAGCAAGTTCAATATAATTAACTCTGTTATATTAGATTTAATAGATTCTCTACGCCCTCTAAATGCCAATTCTCGCTTCGATAACATCTACTAATTAAAATATATCTATTAGCCGTAACTATCTTGTTATAATTTTCAATATTTATTTTATATTGTGTACTAATGTTAATAATGGATTTGTCTCTGATCACTCAGTCATTTGATTGCATGTACAGTACAGTACAGTACAGTACATAGGCGGAAAAACATGCAAGTCCTTCTCTATCCAGTATTATAAGGTATACGATATATACTTAGATTTTAAACAAAACTCTTACCAACGCTGATTTTAAATCGCTTACCATCTCTTCGCACCCATATTCAATATTCTTTTCATTTTTTGGAGTTTCTCAAGCTATTAACTTACTTAATCTCGAGAATGGAGTTCGATACATGAAACTTAAGACCAAATATAGAAAGCTTAGGGGCGGCATGTCCCGATTAACTATACATCATTCAAAAAGTTCTTCCCCGAAAGGAGTTAGATAACGACCGGCAGGAGCCAGTTGATTATTATATTTAAGTACGAAAAATTATATTTTTTAGAGCACTATCGGCCGCCAGCGTGCATGCACGCGCTGCATACCTACCAAAACCGGCCCCGAGTCGATCCAAGCGTGACTTTGTCGGCCTCCCATCCATCTTTCCTATGTGTTATATGTATAACCTTTGGCCCAAGTTTGGTTAGATTTGTTGAAATCCGGTCGCGTTAGAAATAATTGGCTATTAAGATCCTAAAACGCGTCGTGAATAAAATGGTCACCGAAATAATATATTGTGTAAGAGATATGGTACATTGCAGACCAACTAAAAACAATTTATGTGCAAGTGTCTAGTGTACAATAAGAAACTGTTTATATGGAAGTGTCGCTACTTGTTATACTTTCAAGACCTAGTATAACAAGGTGACGGCTGGATGTTTGAGCGGTTAAGACTTCGGTCTACCGCTCTGACATCGATTCGGGCTGTTGAAGAACCCAGGGCGGTCTGTCAAGTCCCGTGTCATACAGTCCTGCAGCCCACATCGTGGATCTTGAGAAACCAAAAATGGGTATAAAGATTAAGATCTTTAATGATCTTAAGTAAGAGTTAGCAATACTACGAGCGAGATTTGTGCGCAGATAATTTCTTACCACACTAAATTTAACAGAAAAATTCATCACAAAACGATTATTGATGCTAATGTCTGAAATTCTATTTAATCCATGCAAGATGTGTGATTACCAGAGCCCCTTCGGCCGCCAATTTAAAGTGTTTTAATCTTTAAAATTGGCGTTTCCACTTCCCGGGACGAGGACCCAGGGGTTGGATTTGTGGGAAGCGTGTGTTCGGGTTGTTTCATTGTGTGGAATTACACAGAACGTGGCGCTTGACGTGTAAGTGCGTGAGTGCGAGAATTCGAGTAAAGGTTAAACGGTGTATATCTTCGTGTACAGTGATGTTATATCCGTGTGTGTGTGTGTGTGTGTGCGTGCGATCCAAGAACATCTTCGGCATGTCTAAAAACAGAAAAACAGTAAATTACGATACGAGAATGAGACGTGTTAAAAAATGAAACGAAAGCGTTCTTACCATCGGAGATTTCGGAAAACATTCACTTGTACGATAAATGGCCACTTCGTCCTCTTCGTGGTAAAGTTGGGGAGGGAGATCCTTCTCCCTCCCAAATGTTCCTACAAAACACAAAGACAGTGAGAAAAGGAGAAGTTGATTCATTTATTATCTAAGGTCAACATTATTACCTTTATCAGATAGTCTTTCTTCCCGAACAGTGTCATGAGGAGAGCGAAGGACCTGACCTAACCTAGCCTAACCTAACCTAACCTAACCAGAAGCTCAATCCTCGTAACAGCTGTTTGGGAAGAAAGGTCGGCCGAATGTCGCGTCCGGTGAAGAAACGTGTCAAGTCCGGGTGGTCACAATCGGAAGTCAAATCCGTTGTCGTCGATCGAGTGTCACGTTCGGGAGACAAGTCCGTGAGAACATCCGGGTAAGAGAAGGCCACGTCCGAGTAAAGAGGTCATGTCCGGGTGAAAAGTGTCGAATCCGGTCAGAATGTCGCATCCGGGTGAAAAGGACGAGTTGGGGAAAATCGAAGAGGATCACCGCCTAGGCCGAGGGAACCGCAGCCACCCGCAGCAACAAAACCGCGGTTCCTCGACTTCGGCGGCTCTCTCCTCCGATGCTTCCCCGTTCCGACTTCGGAAAGACGATGGCGACGAGCTCGCGAGCGCGGACTGAGAGGCAGACCACGCGAAAACAGACGAAGTCCAAGAGGACTCGTCACTCCCTATGCCTTCCTTAACAAGGCCTAGGGCCGGCTGATCCCTGACGACCTTGGCCAAGTGGAATGGACTCAGAACTCTCCCGCCTCCGGGAGAGTCCCACGCCACACGCACTGGGGGAAGGTCGTCACCACCCTCTGCCTCTCGCTCGACGGTCTCCAACGACACCGAACTAATCGATTCGACAGAGACCCAGTCGAGCCCACGGTCCTCGAACGTCTCATCGGAGCCGTCCGAGGAACCCCCTCCCTCCGGCGCCACCGCATTCTTCCGTCGGAACCTCCGGCG